TGTGTGTGTGTGTGTGTGAGAGACTTTCCTGGGAGTCTTGGTGCCTGTAGTTCTCCCCTGTTGTACATGTGCAGAATCGCTGTAACAAGACCAGTTTAGGTGCCTAGCTCCTGTCTAAGCCCCTTTTGGATACACGGACTAGGCAAAGAAGTCCACTGAAGGGCCCAGTCCATTATGTGAGTCTTGAATGTGTTTAATGCACACCTACAGCACTGAATTCCCTGCATACCACAGTCATGCTTGCTTTTGTTAGAAAAAAGTGCACCTGGAAGAGAAGATGATGGTAGTGATCACCTTTCTGTACAAGTTACTTGCCTTTTTATACGGTTAAATTGCTTACCTAGCACTACCTGACCTAGGTCCTAGGCTTTAATTCTTCATTTTTGACAGGAACCAAGGGCAGATGAATATTAATTTTCTACATTTTTTAGGGGCCCCATGTGCCAGATAAAATGGCCTTGCAGGCCAGATCCAGCCCACGGGCCATATTTTGCCCACCCCTGCTCTAGGCTGTCAACCATACGCCCACTCCACCCCGGTCCCCACTTATGTCTCCCCATGCCCTGTGGTTGGTAACTATACTGTATTACAGCTATATCAGAAGCTGATATCATGATGGTCTGATACAACAGACAAAAGCTACCTTCTCAGGTCACATCTGTTGAACGTGGAACTTGCTGTTCATTTCTCTAGACGAGTCCGTGACCGATGCATTTAGATTTTTCTTGTTTAGTTCAGGACTCCTCTAGCTACCACAATCTAGTTTTTAGTTCCTGTAGAAACGCTTATGTAAGCGTTTTGCTCCTATGTGCACCTTTTGCAAAAGCCACATGTATGTGTGCATTAACACTTCAAATATACATGCTCAGCTCCTGAATAAGTTTTATACTATAAGATTGGTGTGCAGAGACTTATGTATGCTGTAACCTCTGAGCAGACTGATATTTGTAGCTAGAATGCTAAAAGTTGTGCTAAGTAACAATGCTCTGGGAGCGCAATGTGATTAGAGGCCAAGTTTAATCATACTGATTTAAGTGCACATACTATTGAGTTATAGCTACACCTTTTTAATTTGGTTCTGATTGAACTGCGCCAGTGTAAAATACTGTGCTTGAGTGTAAAAATATGGGGCATTGAGAAATAACATATTGGAAAACATTGCTGACAGGAGGCAGCTGGCAGCAGCAGAAGTACATGAACTGCAGAGAAAAGGCTGGCAATTGTCTTGAGATGCTGTGGGTTTTGGCATTGGGTCTATAGATACAGGCAGACCTGTAATGATGTTATAAATCTTCCTGAGAGATTCAAACAGTGCAAGCAGAGGAAGAGAGTATCAACTAGAGAAATTGGAGCCGTTGCCTAAATTGAAGAAACACTAGCAATATAGTTTGGTCACAAATGTCACGAGGATCAAGCTGAAGGTCAGAGATCTAAAATGGCAGCAGAAAAGGGGTTTTGAAATTGAATGCAGGGGAAAACCAAGACTTGTAGAGAAGGCCTTGATTAAACCAAGCTTGAGATATAGGACCAAGTAAAATAGATAAAATGTGGCCTCTGACTGCTTGTATTGAAATGACATGGGTGAGCTGCTCTGGAATATCATGATTAAACACATTTATTTTTGTTAAAATAAAAGTTAGAAAATCTCCTAGTAGTGTACTGAGCATGAGAGTTACATTGTTGCTCTTGCATGAATATTAATAGAAGAATTCAAGTTCCATTTAAGCAAAAACCTTGCAAGGAAGACCAAAACAAGCCTTGGCATTGTAAATAGAGGGTGTCAGAAGCTCCTGTAATGATGCTTAGTTTCTTGACAGACTGGGTCAAGCCTCCTTCTGAACTTTGGGGAGCAGCTGATTAATTTGTCATGTCTCTGGTATCTCTGGCATATGCATTTTCAACTGTCTTTTAACGCCCTGCACTGTAACTTTGCAGCATAGGATAACAGTTTTCAATTAAAAAATGCAGCTTTTATATTATGCACAGTTTTGATCTGAAGCCGTCCGTTCAGGATTGCGCTTCGGTCAAAAGGCATAATGTCAAAAGGATCGTTTGCTACCATGATTCTCTTCCAAATAAATTTTGTTATAGGCATACTACTGTTTGTTTGTCTCCTAAACACTCTGTCTTTGGTTTTATTAAGTTGCCTCTTTCAATCAACTTGTCATTTATTTCAAAGCTAAGCATTCCCAGAAAATGAAAATCGGTTGCATTCATGGATCCATCACTCTAAAATGCAGTGGAGTGAATGTGAATGTTAATAGTGACACATGAACTACAGTAGTGTTGCCAAATCCTAACATGTGCTTGACATAAAAATATCTGGTTAATTGTTGCTCTCTGTCCATTTACAGTTTTGTCAGTGGAGGATTACAGATTTGCTTTTGATTTGGGCAACAAAGTTAGGTTGGTTGCCTGTTTAGCTTGGGAAAAGAGGCCGTTTGTTGTTGTTCCAGGTGGCAGTGATTCTCAACCAGGGTGCAGCACTTTTAGGTGTGCAAACTTGAGTCATAAGAGAAATCCAGAGATTTCAGATAGCAATTTGTAGTGCTAAAAGCATTCTGACCTGTTGGCATCTTTCTAAGTTCCTTGAGATGTAAGGTTTGCTCCGTTTTTCTGTAGTAAAAAAAGAATGAAAACTAGGAGCTGGAATTTTTCTAAGAGGCACCTTGAGTCTTATGAGGGGTGCCTTGATGCTGCAAAGGTCAACTACCACTGCCAGGTGGGGATGTGCATAGTTAGCCATGTGACATGGGGTTTTTTTAACCACTTTTTTCACACATGCATACGATCGAGAAAGGTCTGAACAGGTACACCTAACGGTAAATTATTTTCCTGAACCGGAAATCTGATTGTTAAGTTAATTGTATCTTTGACGGATTAAAAACTTATTTTAGCTTTGTATGACTTACAGTTTTGGGGAGAAGAAAAGCCATGTGGGCAAAGAGAAGAATTTAGCGAGGAGACTTTGGCTAAATACCTTAAACATCAATAAGTTCTCCTTGGTACTGATATCCATCAGTTGGGGGAACTCTGGCCTTGGGGCAGGTACCTTTGGGCACCTATACATGTGACGGACCTCTACTCTGACGCGTATTAATTAGCCTTTATTAAATGCATTAGAGCAGACTCAATTAATAGAGTCTGCTGGAGCGTGCTAATTAATGTGTTCCAGCAGCCTCTGTGTTGCATGTATTCAGTGCCCCTACCGCCATTTTGAAGCATGGGACACTGAATACATGTGACACAGTGGGTGCTTTAATTGGAGTGGCTCTGAGAGTCTCTTCATCTGGGAGCATGTGTATAGATGCCTTTTGGTACAGGGAAATTAGACTCAGGTAAATGAGTTGCTGGACTTTGTAACTGTCATTCATGTTTTTGCATTAACTTTGCTTAAATTTTTTTTCAGTTAGTAGACTTGAGGAGAGGGAGGCGGAACTGAAAAAGGAATACAATGCGCTCCATTCAAGACATACAGAGGTAGGTCTCAATGCACTCCGCTTTGGCATGCAAATATGTGTACCAAAATATAAACTTAAGTTACTTATTAATAGTTGATTTAAATGAAAGCTTTTAGGCATTCTTGCTTGATGCATGTAAATTTGGACAGTTTATTGTTGCCTGGTGTAACCAGGCTCCATTTGACACGCCGTTCTTCCATATCGCCTACATTTTAGTGTACACACACTTCCTGGTTTTTTGTTGGGTGGTTGTTTTTTTTTGTTCAGACCGTGTCATTCACGCAGTCACTTTTCAAATGCGCGCACAGACCTTTTCAAAACATGGAAATTACTAAATGTTCTTGTACCCCCAAAATAATTTGTCTCAGCAAACTTTAAACACCAAGCAAATGCAGAAGGGACTTAGTCTTCTGTTTCCAACTGCTTTTTCCATTGTTCCAACTGCTTCCTTGGGGATCTGCATGTCCTAGGAAATTGGCCTGCTGCTGACAGCGGCAATCAGCAAGCGTTAACGGTAATTATTACTGGGGACAGGATGATGCTGTTTTCAATATTGTTTGTAGTTTCAGTTATATATTTGGGAATTCATGCTTTATGGCTGTCAGCAGTGGGCCATCTTCCTAGCGCAGATGGAGATTCTAATTGGCCAGTTTTCATGTATGAATGTGGGGATATTTTGCTCAAAATTACTCAGTTAGATTAAAACATTTTCTCTTCCAGTGTTGAAGTTTTTTGCAGCTGCTCTTATTCAGTTTCCAAACTCTTCACTGATTTTTGTTGCTCTTGGGAAAACTAATACCTGATTTTTTTCCCCCAAAGTTAGAGTTCGAACCTGACACTTCTTCAATTAAGTATCTTCTATCCTGAAAATAAGATTTGATTTGATAGCTAAGCATGTGAGTTTGGAATATGAAGTGTTGCAATACTGACAGTGAGTAATGGAACAAGTGTTAAGGGTCCCGGGACCAGGATGGTGAGGGTAGTTGAAAGCAGAGCAAAACAAAGCTTCAACACTAGGCTTTTCAAAGGTTAATATTAAAACATTCTGAAGATGTTACTGAAAATCTATTAATCTAATAGTGCAGGTAGGGGGGGATTTTTAAAAATCCTGCATAAGAATCAAATGTTCAATTTGTAAAAGCAGTGTAGGCTTCTAAGTTCCTTTAATTTTCAAAAAAATTAAGGTTCTAAACATAACAGTTTCTTAAACTTTCCAGTTGTAAGTTTTGGAGCAAATCCTTGGAAGTGAATTTAGTGTGAAAACTAGACACATTTTTATCTTGTTGAACTCCACAGCAATATTATCACTTCACTGCTTAATTCCCATTTTTTAGCATTTCTCAGGCTTGGATGCCAAGATTGAGCCCTCAAATTCTGATGGAATAGGGGAAGTAGTATTCTTATCTCCGCTGAGTGTTTAGAACTTCCCTTGCTGTTTCTTGTGGAAGAGCTACTCCATGATTAGCGAGTTTAAGCTCGCCTCTCCTGTAGAACTGCGTTCCAGATTCATTTTTTTGTCATGCCACTGGCCAAGCAGGCCATAGTATAAACTACTATTACACCACTTACGTTGTGGATTACACTTAACCTTTGGCAGTGCAGTGGATCTGCAACTTTTTTTTTTGCAACACATAGCCATTTTTAGGCTTGTTAAACTTCCCTGTGTTTCCTTGTTATGGCTAATAAGAAAGAAGTAACGCTTGTCGCTACATCTGCATTGTAACCTCTCCAACAACCTAAAAGTTCTTCATTTTTTTTCTTTTTCTTCCTTTTCCTCCACGTTATATTTCCCCTCTCCCTTCTTCTGCTTTCCCATTTCTTCCTCTTGTGCCCTCTAGAAGTTCGCTGCGTGCCCCAGTTTGAGAAACACTGGTCTAGTGTGACTAGAACAGGGAGTTGGAGACCTGAGTTCTGTCACTGTCGTAGCTACTGATCTAGGTAACCTTGAATGAATCGTTTGATTTCTGTGCTTGATTTGCAGGCTGAAAAGCATCTTTTATTTACCCTTTAAAAAAAAAAAAAAGGAATTTGGCCACCTTTATATGAAGACTTAAAGCTAGTATCATCTACATTCAAATAGTCAAAAGGATGTTTGCTGTTAATTTTAAAGGAAGTCTAGTCACTGAGCTACTGGGAACTTGGAGCCAGGACCTGTAGAAGTTCTTTATCAACTATTGACAGTAATAGCCTCCTTGTACCAGTGTAAGCACTGTCTTCTTCCCTTCAGTTAATTCATCTATCTGTTTTAATGAATAATTTTCAGAAGCTGAAAAGGCAGGAAAGCTTGTCTTCCTTTTTCCAATCAAGGGATGAGAATTCTAAAATCTTAAAAGACGTAGTAGCCAGAAACAGTTCAGTCCCCTTATTGCATCTACTTATTTTGCTTAGTTGCATTCTTTTTAAATGTATGTCGTTTACACTTTTTCCAGTCCATCTGAGGTAGGATTTTAAATATGCATTTAAACTAATAACTCAGTAAAACTGTTTTGTGTGTGTTAATTGAATTCTACTTTTCATTTTAATGCAGCTTGACACACGAGTAAAAATAACTTAGTAAATATTGAAAGAAGCGAGTGATAATCTAAATTAATGTCAAGCTATACAGTTGCTTAAATGCTTATCCTGGTTAGCTGAAACTATCACATTGTGTCAGAGCTATGCTTAGAGGCTAAATAATGTTTTAATGGGAATCAACCTTCAGGAAAATAACTGAAGTACAAATGCGGAGCAAGCTTTAAATTGATTATTTCAAATCATTTCACCCTGGGGATATTCTTGTAACGTGGGGATAGTAATTTGGAGTCCCCTGAATAATACTCTGTGTTTGACTGTCAAATTTTAGCTTTAATTTGACCTAATCTTTGTGCCGTGACTCTTTTTCTGGAAGAGGAAGTTGGGAGATGTAAAACATAACAATTCTATAAGCACTTCCTAAGAATATTTCACTCCACTGTGAGGTTTGATGCATCATGGGGAAAGCTTTTTCACTGTTCTTCATACTTGGTATTGTAAATAGTTGTTTTGTTTTAATTCCCTATACTCGGATATTTCCTTGGACGGCTTCATTGTCCAGTACCCTCAGGCATCGGGTTCAGTCAATAGTACAGAACCTCATGCTGAAAGTGGCTCTTTTTACACCTTTTTTAAAGTACTAAATTTCATCTTCCAAGTTTCACAGTTAAGATGAAGTATTTTCCTTTGAGGTTGACTTTAAAAGAATCTACTGCTTCCAAGACTCTTGCAAGTAATTATCCAGCTAATTGGAGCGAGTTTCATGCAATTTATATAACCACCATAGCAAACTGCCCCCAACCCATCAAAGAACATTACTGAGGTTAGAGAATCAAGCATTGAGTTAGGGAATGGCAGAATGAAGGTTTCCTGTGCAACCTTAATTCAGTCGCCCTGTGTATACGCAACCTCATGACTTCCAGACTTTTTAACCACAGGGCTCCTGCCTCACCCGGTGCACAAAGTGGACCGTGCTCACTTTAATGAGCAGCTATTGGTCTCCATCTCCTTGCCTAGGCTGTCTTAGTTCTTGCCCTTGTTCTTCTTTTTTTTTTTTTTTTCTCCTTATCTCACTTGTTTCTGGTCTTGTTTAGCCAGTCTGCCCATTGCTGAGCTCACTGTCCCACCTTCCATTTCTTAACTGGCTTCCAGTCTTCCTGCCCTCTCCTGTCCTCTTCCTTGCTACCCTGGCTTTCTCTTCCAGCCATCTTTCTCAGCCACTCCCTTGCAATCAGTCTCTTTTCATCCTGTACAAATTTAGGCTAGGGTCTTCTCTCCCAGTCTACTCCTACTCCCCAACCTGGTCCAGCTCTTAAAATCTCAGGATTTGTTGGGCCGATCCCTCCTCCATGATGTCTGGCTGCTGGAATCCTGGGGAGTGTTCATCAAGTTCTTGACAGTTTAGCAGCAAAGTCATGTTCCCTGCTTTCAACTTTTGTGACTTACTACACTTGAAAGGCATGTTCTGGTGTATGGGTGGGAGGAGAGGAGGGCAAGCAGTGAGGAGGAGGATCCATGTGCAGTTCTTTCAGAGCCTATATGAGAGACTCCAGCATGTTCGGTGAGTAGCATGGGGTTTTTCAGACAGTTGACAAATATCTACTAAACGTGGGCAGACGTTTCATAACTTGGGCATGTTACCGGAGGAAGTACAAACGGTAGCTGCCTGGTGTAAAACACCCATTTTACCAAACTTCAAGCTCCGGATCTTGTGAGTAGTAGAATACTTCAAAGAAAAGGCCCAAGATTTTTTTTTAATTTTGCAAAATAACATGTCTACTATCCTGGAAAGACCTGACCTCTTTTGATTGAAGCAGACACCAGGAAAAAGTTCACCCCAAATGGTCATTTTGGCAATGCTATGAGTACATGAAAATGGTCTATTATGGGGCAAGCTTAATAGCCGCCTTACCTGTGACATAAATGCAAGGCAACCCCCGCTTAACGCTGTTTCACTTGGCACTATTTCGCTATAACGCTTATTTGAAATTGATACCTGATCTCACTTAGCGGTCAGCGAGTTTCATTATAATGCTCGCAGTCACCATCTTGGGTCGTCAGATACTTTCGGTTTCGCTTAACGCTCGTTTTTTTAGGAACCGATTAAAAGCACTAAGCAGGGGTTGCCTGTATTTTAAAAAAAATATTGATGCTTTTAATTCCTTTCTTCCATCCTTTGTTGCCGGTCTAAATTTGGACGAGGGACTTTGTGTTTGTAAAATGCTTAGCACAGTAAGCCAGGCTTCTGATTTAAAGGCTGTGTATGTGCCACCATAATAGAACTACATATTTTCTCCCATATAAAAACCAGGTGGTGGGAATTAGGGCATATATTATGTGCCAGAAATAGAGCTGGCCTGTGGAGCCAAATCATTTGGCCTGTGGGGCTCCCCCGGGACCATAAATTTGGCAGGGGGGGAGCAGTGGCCGCGTTAGTTGCTGCAGCTTGCAGAGCCATGGCAATTAATGCTGCCATCACTACTCACCTGCCACCAAATTTCTGGACTG